TAGGCTTTGTATTCATGAATGGGCACCTGTTAGTTTTGAAAGACTTATAGAAAATGTTTCCCACTTACAGCTGACTCGTGACTACTCACTTACAAGGTCATCTGCAGTGGCCTGGCAATGCATGCCTACTGAGTTTTAAAGCAGACCTTAAAGCAAAAGAAGCTCCTCATAAATGGAGAGTTTTCCCTTTCTTATTCCTGTATGACTAAAATTGCTGAAATTCCAGCGATTTTAGGTAATTGACTTTTTTTTTATTCTTACCTCCAAGAGAAAGTCTACAAAAAGAGCTCAAAATTAAGGCCTTTATTTTATAATCCAAGCATGCTGTTAATTAAAAATCTTTGGCATCAAAACTTTAATTTCTAAAGACTTCTTGTTTATTCACAAATAAACTTCAGTATGCCATCTGTTTCTATCACGTCATTGTAGTCACAAGTGTAGATGTTGACAGTTTCTTTCCAATTCTTTTGGCAAAAGTATCCAAAGATACTTGCACTTGAGCTGGCTTATCCCAAAGTGCTGCTCTATTCATGCACAGCTGTGAACCCTGCATGGGCCAGAACCTGTGGAACAAATGTTTTATCACCAGAAATTTCAATGCCTGATACGTTCTCTGGGGAGAGGCCAGGGCCTGAAGAAATTTTGAGGATTTCTGAGCACACGGGACATTTAAAGCTATGAGATAAGATGGATTCATTTGTTCATTTAAGAAAATGAATGAGTGGTTGTCGTCAGGTTTTTTTTTTAAATATGTTTTAGTTGTAGGTGGACATAATACCTTTATTTTATTTATTTATTCTTATGTGGTGCTGAGGATTGAACCCAGTGCCTCACCGTGCCAGGCAAGCGCTTGGCCAATGAGCCGCAGCCCGGCCCTCGGGTGCTGTTTTAGTCCCAGGTGATACAATRAACTGGTAAATGGCAAGTCCCCAGTCTCTGCCTCTCAAGGCAGCAGACAAGGACGTGACAGGCAGCACGTTAAACAGAAGTGATGCTGTGAAGGAAAACAAAGCAAGGGGGACAGGGGCCCCATCTGAGGGGAGTCAGAGGGGTCCTCACTGGGGGAGGGTGACAGGGAAGTATKCGAGGCACTACACAGCATCTGGGAGAGTCGTCTTGGGCACTGGCAACAGCAAGCGTGGGCCTCCAGGTGGGAGCAGGCCTCATGTTAGGGAAGCAGTGCAAAGGCTCTGGGTCCTGTAGCCATCCGAAATGGGAAGCTATCGCTATGGGAAGGACTGAGTGCAGGAGTGCAGTGAGCCGCCATCCTGGGCACACACCTTCAGAAGGACAGGGATCTAGAAGGCTGGCAACTGTGGGCATCTGAATGTACTCAGTTACTGAGTTTCTTTTTCTGTACTTAATAAGGTTTGGTTCTCTTTTTAGGACAAAATTCTGCCCAGCTTGTCTTGTATTCTTGGCTTACTGCTAGCTGACAGGAACTGGCTGCTAGAGCAACATACCTTGGAGGCTTTTACTCAGTTTGCTGAGGTAATTACTTATAACGCGGACTTGTCAGTCATCACCAAAGAAGGTCCAAAAATTATTTACAGAGCTGCTTCTGCACCTTAGTTGTAAAACTTCTGCTGGAGGAAATGAGTCGTGTGCTCTACAGAATCTCAGATAAGGCCTAGAGAAGTGGGAGGTTCTGAAATCATTAGCGAGCCCTGGACAGGCCTTCACAGTGGCTTGACTAACTTGGACACTGTCTTCCAGACAGTGTTTTGGGGTTGAATGATGGTACATCTCATCCTGAACTATCCTGAGCTGAAGAACCGAAACCTGCTAGTTTGGGTCCTAGGGAAGGTGACTCCTCCCCGGGCTGCTTCTCCTCCGGTGGCTGAGCAGAGGGGAAGTCTCAACACTAGACGTGCACTGCGGCAATACAGCCGACTGTGAGCTCGCTGCCTTTGAATATCCCATAGCACTTTCTTAGAGTTTTAATAAGGTAGCTCTTACAACTCATTTGTCTTTGCAAGTTGTTGAAATAATCTTAAAATTGATCTTGTTTATTAATCTTTTAATAGGGAACAAATCATGAAGAAATAGTTCCACAGTGTCTAAGTTCTGAAGAAACTAGAAACAAAGTTGTATCCTTTCTGGAGAAGGTATTTATTATGGAATTACCTTTTCTTTTCTGAAACTGTAATTATAACCAACTTAGCTTAAATTTTTCAAAATGCTCAGAGCAGTCCTAATCCAAAACACTCCAAAATCTAATACTTTTTGAGTGCCACAGTGGAAAACTCCATACTATAAAACTATTTCATACACAAAATCATTTAAAATTTTTCATAAAATTAACTTCAGGCTATAGTGTTTAAAGTTCACATGAAATATAAATAAATGGATTTTGTTTTTAGACTTGGGTCCCATCTCCAAAGTGTCTTAGTATATGGGGGTCGRGGGGGAACTCCGAGACACTTCAGTTCCAAGCACTTAAAACAATTGAGAACATATTACAAGTGAGAGAAGTGAAACTCCTGAAGTCCCTCTGTAGTTTGGGATAGAGTGGCATTGATAGTCCAGGCAGCAAGATGACACGTGGGGGTCCCTTTGCTGTTACTAATCATAATTAGATGCAGCTAATTATATAGGCTCTGAGGATCTGTTATTGTAGCTTAAGTATAATTTAGGCTTTTGTTCAATGATTGAGGCCAAGATAGTGACATTATATTTAAGGCATTTTTACATTTAGAACCAAAATTTTGAATCATAGGGATCCCATGTTTGTATATACTTTGAAAACTTCAAGATGGTGCTATCACCAAGTTGTAATTTAAAGGATAGTTGGGAGTACTAATGGAAATAATTCTAAGGTCACAAATCCAAGAAAAATTATTCATAAGCACTTACTTTAATATTGTGCCCATTGTTAAACCGGACTCTATGTTTAATATACGTAAGTACACCTACCTGCATGTATGACAAACTTCACGTATCTCACATTTGACACCTATCTTATGTTACATCTAAGCTGTACTTTAAGTCCATGAACACATCTCTCTTGCCAGTCTGCTCCTGCTTAGCTTATTTTTTAAGTAAAGGTTGGCAGACCACCGTTTTTTCTTGGAAAGAAGGCTGTAGGGCAGAGAAAACACTGTAGAGGGGTTTTTAGCCACACCCCATGAGCCCACAGGTTAAGTGACTTGATCTCTTCATCATCTGAATATTACACCGTTTGCCGTCTAGTAGAGAATGCTAATCTGTTGGTGTTTCCTTGGCTCTTCGTGGTCTTTGGCAGACTAGGTTTGTGGAGGAAACTGAAGCTGCCAAAGTGGAACGTGTGAAACAGGAAAAAGACATTTTCTGGGAACCCTTTGCTAACATGACTGCAGAAGCAGCAAAAGGGTCGTCCTCAGAGGTATGAGCTGCTTTCCAGTGTGCGCCAAGAAGCTCTGTGCTTATTATTTACTAATATAACAAAGTAGTTTTGGTTCAGTGCTTTTCCTCATGTTGAATTTTCAAATCAGATCTAGACATGTAAAATTCTCCTGTTTTATGGTAGTTGCTCTTTGGAAAGTCTCATGTATTCTGACTGAAAGGTCACCAACGCACTGAACAGGAAGGCTAGAGAAAACGACGTCTTAAACATCGTACCAAACACACCTTTCAATGGTAGTGACCATGGGGGTCAGGGGTGGGGTGTTCGAAAACTGTACCCAGGACACAGAATGTAGTTGCTGAACCACAAAAGAAACCACTTGCCTTTTAAAGTGTTTAGACAGTCCCTGCCTCATTCATCAAACCAGTCTCTAAATTTTGGGGGGTGTCTTAAGAATCACATTTACCTACTGAAAAGCAGAAAGTTGACACTACTGTTGATATTCAAAATATTGTTTGGGGCACTATAAATACATTTGGAAGGATAAACTATATAATAGGATCAGTGTTTTACTCACAAAATCTCTGAAGTACAATTATGTTAGTTGTAGAAATAGGTCCCTTATGTATTTATTGTGACACTCCTCAGGAAGCTGTTGGCCCCACCCTTCATCCCTGTCCCTGTGCAATGTGTGATACTGTAGAAGTCTGACATTTTCTTAACGAGTTAAGTACAAGTGTTGGTGGGGGTGGGGGGACCCTAAGACAGACTTGGCTGTATCTAAAGAGTACTTGCTGGAATTACTGATCTGGGCAGCACTTCTCATCAGGAGCCCTTTGGGACAGCATCCTCATGTACACCCCCAACAAACCAGGACACTTGTAGTAACTAACATCTTGAATCCTGTGACAAACCAAAGCATCTTCATGTAGCATTCCAGATAACCAGGTGGGGTGAAGGGCCCTCCTGTCCTTGTGATCAGTGACGAGGAGGGGTTTTAGAATGGGCATTATGGTCTCACATTTCTCTCCTTTTCYAGCCTTGTGCAAAAAGAGCCCGCCAGGAGGTCCCCCTGGAAGAAGAGCACAGGGAGGCACTGCGAGTAGCAGCAGGGGCCCTGCAGACAACAGAGTCCCTGCTGCAGAAGGCTCCTGCTCCAGCCTGGCTTCTAGTGGAAGTGGAGACACTGCAAGAAAGGATCGAGAAGGTGAAACGCATGCTCCAGGGTGAAACTTGAACATCTGCATCCTCGGGAGACAGGACCAAGCCTGATCCTCTCTCAATTCCCAGGACATTTTGTAAATGAAAACACTGATTTAATTATGTTTGTACATTTTCTAGTACATATAAAACAGCTTTTGTAAAGGTGAATCTAGTGAAAATAGCCTTTATTGACATGTAGAGAACAGGATTGTGGGGGATATTTCTCATTAAGAACTTTGGTACAACGTAATACACGTGAACAGTCAGTGACTGCCCCGGTCCACAAAGGGCCTTTTACTCAGGACTACTGTAAACAAATAAATAAGCTGCCTAAGGAGACCGTAGCGATTTAAATCATTTATAATTTATAGCTAAATTTTTTTAAGTTGTATTTTCATAATAGACTACTCTTCTCACTGTTCAAGAAATGGCACAAAATTAAGCTAACCAGTTTGGGTTTTTATAATTATCGTCTTGACTTCCAGGACTGTCCTGGAAGAGGCAGTCCGCTTGGCCTGGCCTCGCCCGCTTGCTCTTCATGGAAACTGGCCTCAGTCAAATGCACACGGGCTCCTCCTCCCAGGAACCTGTGCTGAGCCTCCCGACCACTCAGCGCGCGTCCAGTCAGCACTTGAGGTTGGTCTCACGTCAGTTGGCACAGACTGTGAAGAGAGCTCCTGGCATAGGAAGCACAGGCTGCAAAAGGGCTTTGTCCACACAGCCTGGTTTTGAGGTATTGATTTTTTTTTTTTTTTAAAGGAATCATTGCTCCTAAAGTTCAGCTCATACCCGTTGTCACCAGTTATTATCTTCCCAGTTCAGCTCCCCTTCTTCTCCCCAGCCTTCAGCCTCTGCCTGCAACAAAGCACACCAACAGCAACTCACTGAACAAATCATATCCACATGTGGAAACTTTTTAAAGACCCAGCACTTGTTTTTTGATGCCAGAATATTGTGCTTCATGCTAAGTGAAAGCTGAAAAGCAAGACTGCTTAGGTTCCAGCACGGAAGAACCTCAGCCCTGGAAGAACTTTTCACAACCCTATAATCCAGTAGTAACACTACTTTTTGCTTAATCTTTTTTCCAAATAACAAGGTTATTCATGCGACAACCAGACCGCCTAAGACTGTGCCCAGGCACCTCCTCCTGGGGAAAAAAGAATGCTGTTCCTAGGAACCAACTTGCTTAGCTTGAACATTTTAACCACCATGTACAGTAATCTTTCTTTCCTTTCACTGGGAGAACGTGCTGGGTACTATGAACTGGGACCTGAGGGAAAACCCTTGATTTAATATTAATAGCAGCTTAATCCAAAAAATACTACTCACTTCACTCATTTCTGCTGCAGCAAATTTTGAGGAAAACTGCATCCCAGGCGAGACATCATCCGTTTCTGTCCTCAGTTCAGGTAAAATAAGAAACGTGGATGAAGGCTTAATTTCTGGGATCATGTCTGCAAACCAGTCCAACTCAGGGTCTTGTGCTGGCTTCCTTTTCACTTGGATTGTAAACTCTTCTCCTAAGCCAAGTTCTGATGGAAGTTTAAGGGGCCTTTCTTGTGACAGCACTTTTGGTGGCTTGATTTTGTCCGGGTCACTCTGTGCTAAACTGGTCTTTTGGGGTGGGCTTGATTTCAAAGGTGYAGGTTCCTCAGTGAGGGGCAGTGAAGCAGGGATGGGCGTCTGCTCCCCTGAAGTCACAGGTACTGCAGCGGGGATCCCAGCTCCCAGGTTTATTCCAGCCCCTCCACTTCTGGGCTCCTCGGCAGCAGCATCACAGGGTTCTGGAGGCCAGATCTGTGTGCCCATGGTTTGGTTCTCAGGCTCCGTAGGTTCATTCCAGTCAGGCCACTCCTCAGATTTCTTAGGGTCTGATGGGAAATTTTCACTGTCTCCTGAAGTACTTTTGACATCTGAGATTCCGTTCATGGGAAATTTAACAGACTGAGAAAACTGATCACCTGTGAGGATATGTATAAGAATTCTCACAAAATGGTAAGAACAGGCAATATGTTGGGGTGTGGGATTAGCATGATACGGTATAGCTCTGATTACTTGGAATTATCCATGCATACCAAACCAACAAGAGATCCTGCAGCAAGTAACACCAAAGATGCCATACAAATTACCCACTTCCTGTACAGTACTTACATACTATTAATTCAATGGAAGCATGTCGTGTAACAAACTAGACATTTAGGACGAAATATTCCAAACATACTGCTTGCTTATCGGCATAATTGTCCATAAATAAGTATACAAATACCCTAAGCCAAGTCAAGATGGTAAATACATACACCTTGAACAAAGTGTGCTCAAATAAGTTTGCCTAACATGTTAACTTACAAGTATAGTTAGGGTGCTGAGAAACCGTAGGCAATGTGTCAACTCTGCTACCATTTTCCCAAACATTTTAACCGCAGAACCCTTTCTTAGCATGCCCCTTAACATCTTTGGGTGCCATCATTCTTGGTACAATTTGGAAGATGCACTGAGGCATCAAATCCCCAAGTAAAGCATACGGTACAAAAAAGAATACAAGTAATGTTGACTTGTTCTTCTTACCAGTAACCAGGAGGCGGCTAGAAACATACCCAAGAGTCTGGGGAGATAACATGAGATGACCACTAACCAAATTTTCAGAATTTAAACTTAATTTTTTTACTCTCAAAAAACATTCATCCAAGCAATGGAAACTGTAAATTTAGTATTTCTACCTGTCTGTAAAAGAGTACTGTAGTAATCTTGCTGTATGGACTTCTTGCTGCTGATGGGCATGTTGCCAGAAAGGAAGCACTTAGGGAATATGATAGAAGGTTTCTCCAAGGCTGGCGAGATCTGACTGTGCTGGCTGCAGCCGACGTGCAGAGGAGAATCTGAAGGTAAATAAAAACTCAAAAAATGAAAGGGCTARTAAATTTCTTTTAGATCTATCACATTTGATGAGCAGCAGTTAAAGGAAATGGGTGTATTTAACTAACACAGATGGAAGAGAACACCTTCCAGGACACGATCCTGTCGTGGAACAGATAGCCTAACCCCTATGTGCACTCCACAGTGGTGATGGAATAGAAGGGATTCCAGCATCAAACAAATACAACCTTTGGGATACCTAGCAAAAAAGTTACAGCCAATATGAATCTACTGAATACTACAAAAGTATATACTTAAAAATGGTTGAATTTTATGCTCTGAATATTTAACCCCAAACCAAAGGGGTGGAGGTGTTTCAAGAAAATGTCTTTTACAATTTACCAAAATGTTGTGATTGGACGTTGGTCAAAAARATGGTAGCAAAACTTGGCTCAGTTCTTCCTCTGCCTTGAAGTGAGGGTGGGTGGAAGGGCCTGGGATGAACGACAACTGGCAAGCCCCCAGCTCCTTCACACCCAGCCTGCAGCCTGCCCTCTGCTGGCACCACTGTCTCCTCTGCGGAAGTTCCTGTTTCCCTTGCCCAGTGTCCTCTGAGCAGGTCCATGGCTTCCTTTTAGGCAGAACGACTAACCTGTCGTGAAGCTCAACAWCAGCCCTTGTTTTAAGTCTGACCATGCAGGTACCGTCTAAGAGGTATCCCTAGACCTGTCTCCTCCTTAGCAGCCCCGTCACTGCACAGAAGAGCTGCACTTGACTCTAAGCTGGGCACACGGGCTGCTGCCAGGGCTCACTGGGTCTCATAATGAGGAGCCCAACTCAGTCACCAGGATTACACCTCTCTATCCTCTAGATTCTTATCTGGTACTGCTGCTCTGGTGTTTCATTAAGACTACACAATGCCACTATGTATGGTGTGTCAAAAYGCATCCCTGTTTAACTACTTAGAACAAATAAAATTTAGAAAGATAAAAAGACTACACAGTAATCTGGATCATGTACCTGAATATTTCAGGAAACAGAATATCAATAGTAGATAACTCCACCCTATAAGACAGATGTGAGGACTGGGAGCTCTCGCGGAACCAGTGTGCAAACATGCCCCAAGATATCCCCAAGTCTTATCCTATGCCCGCAGCCCCTATGATGTAAAAATAAACCTCTCCTGTTTGATGTAATCTGTTAAAAGAATTGGTAACACCACCAACTGAATTCAGTATGTACATTTCACAGCTGACAACGAGGCAAGAGCATCTCTGGCCTTGTCCCTGGCACCCCTTTGACCACAGCAACCCTGGTTTCATCAGCACTAAGAATAACTGAACTCCCCAAACTTCAGAAACCAATGTTGCTTTAAAGATTGGGTTGGCATCAATATTAGACAAAGGCCTACATGAAGCTCTTTGCTGCTAACCATCCCATGCTATCTACTGACAATCAGAATGGAGTTAGATACCAGGAATTTTACATTGTGATCATGTATGGTGTGTCAAAACGCACTTGACCGTCACGTATAATTAGAATAAAATTTTTTAAAAAGATAATAATTAAGACTACACAGTAGCTTGGATCATATATCTGAATACTTCAGGATACAGAAGGTCAACAGCTAGATAATTCCACCCTATTCAAGGTATACAAAGTAACAAAAAAGCAATGATGTTGTTGACACCAAGTTCTTTTAAGTATCTAAAAATCAACASATTTTCACCCAATAGATGAAAAAAAAATCAAAGGAACTAAAATGTCTAGTATTAAAGAACTACTTCGATCTTCCTGGAAACTGATGTTGTCCACTAGAATATAAAATGCCTCCACCCCAGGGGTCTCCTGCTAAGACAACATTCTATTGCCCTGACACCCAAACTGCACGAAGACTCAAACATCAGGGTGACTACTGCAGCACTCCTTATAGTGATCAAAGACCCAGAAACAGGGCTGGGGCTCAGTGTAGAGAGCTCGCCTCGCACATGCAAGGCCCTGGGTTTGATCCTCAGCACCACATTAAAAATGAATAAATAAATAAAGTTAAAAAAAATTAAAAACAAAACAAAAACAGAAATAGATACGCTATCCATGAGTCAGTAGGTGAGAGAGTGAATTAAATTCAATGAACTATTAGGCCAAGAATCATCCACACGGGTACSTGCTGACCTGGACACGAGTCCCTCCATGAAAGCAGGCTGGGGCCTTGTGTGTGGTGCTGTTTCGGTTCCCTYAGACGCCATGTAAATGGATGTGTACAATCCATCTATGTGTGCCCCTATGTAGGCTTCAAAAGAGATATGAAAAGYAGATACCTCCACCCCTACAAGGACTCAGGAAAGGGAAACAACCTTTTCCTTATACTTCTTTGTATCATTTAACTGAATGTACCCTCCTGCTTTATTTGTGTAACATTAAAAATCCAATTAAAAAAAAAAAAAAAAAAAGCTAGACTTTTCAATCATTCTTACCTTGTGGGGAAAGGTCAACAGTTTTAGTAAAACTTGGGGCAGTACGCTTGAAGATCTTGGTTCTTTCTCCTCCCACAACCACTTCTGGTCCAAGGAGAGAGACTAGCACTGCGAGGCTATGAAGAGTAATTGACACAATGGAATCGCTGGTGTCACGAAGGCCCAGTAACACCTATGAGGCAATGAGGAAAGGAGTGTAGATGACCACAGAATCTGTCTTTCCTCTCTGTAGCCAAGCAACTGGGCTGCACTCAGAATGTGCTTGCTCAGATGAACCAGGCATACTTGCACGMCTACAATCCCAGCAACTCAGGAAGCTGAGGCAGGAGGATTGCAAGTTTGAGGCCAGGCTTGGCAACTTAATGAGGCCTAAAGGCTTAGTGAGAACCTGTCTCAAAACATAAAAAAAGAACTGGAAATGTGGYTTGGTGGTTAAGCACCCCTGGCTTCAGTCCCCAGTGCCTCACCTGAAAAACTAAATAAAAATAAAATCAAAACAAAGTTAAATAACATTAGAAACCAACACAAAATTACTCCATTAAATTGCTACAAAAGCAATTTTAGGTGTTAACTGTTCACCTCTGAACTCAACTCACTGAAGAACCTGACACTCAGGCTGGCCATGTGCTGCCGACCACACTCAGAACCACCCACCTTGGGCACTTCATAGTCCATTCCTGGTCCTTGCCCCTCTTCCCAGCTCTACACATCCAGGGGTGGAACCTTGGACATCTTTGTTTATGACACAGATAACACCTGCCCCCAAAATGAGCTAATATTTTTAATATTTATTTTTTAGTTGTAGTTGGACACAATGCCTTCATTCATTTTTATGTGATGCTGAGGACTGAACCCAGGGCCTCGCATGTGCTACGCGAGCACTTTACCGCTGAGCCACAACCCTAGCCCCTCTTGCCTGGTAATTTAAGCTGGAATTTGGAGAAACTGCTTACCTCTGTGGTTAAAATGAGGAAAGTAACCTGGAAGTTACGGGACARCCAGACTTGGCCATGTGCACCCCAGGACAATGAAAGCTGGTCTTCAGAGCATTTTCAAAAGTGAAAGATGCAAAAGGAAAGAAAAAAAGTGGAGCCCACACAGCGGGGAGTTCTGTGGCACTGGGTTCCACTTATGTAGCCCAACGTCCTTTCACTAAATTCCTTTTACTTTGGTTGGTTTAACATGGATTTTGGTTACTTGCAATCCAAAGCATCTTAACTAAGACAGTCACGTGCAGATATCAGGAGAGGTTTTGCCCTACAAGAGGAGGACCTGCAAAGCATCTGTGCTGACCAGACACAAGGCAGGTTCACYGGCCCGCCTGAGGGCATCAGCAGTGCTGGGTTCCAGCCCCAAGTCTGCGGCACAGGGGATCACAGGTTTCCAGCAGGACTAGCAAGACTGGGACTAGTGCCGACACACCGGGCACTTCTCCAGGCAGGCCGCAGAGCTGAACTAGAGCCTGTGTCTGTGCATCTGAGCGCAAGACTGGTGCTGGGATCACACAATCACCCAAGCCCCAGACCCATCCTCCCCACACCTCTCCATCCAGTGGGAACCAGAGTCCTGCCCCTCCACCTTCTGTGCCCTCGGTGTCTGCTACCACATTGCCCCCGTCCTGCCCTCTCTCAGATGACTATTCCAACAGCTTCCCAGCTCATCTCCCTTCAGGGTCCACTTGCCCCTGCTACCAAAGTGAACTCTCCAACACTCAGAAAGCGTCCCAACCATTCTCCTGCAGCGGAAGCAGTGTTTCAGACATGAGAGCTTCTGTCGTCTTTTGCTTGCTGAACACCTGCTCACATTCCTACCACAGCCCAATCTAAGGCCTAGGACAAATCTATTCCAGAGCTAGAAATCTTCCAGACACCCTTTATCTTCCAGCTACCTGCAGGTATGAACACAGGTCTAGGCTGTGGTAATCAAGCTCCCCAGCGACCCACAGTGAAGGACTTCTGTGACTCACTTTAACCAGGAGGATGTGGCATAAATGACTTCTGTTAGCCAAGAGCAGTCATGAAATAAGTCCCCCTTCCTTACTAGAAGAGCCATGTGGAAATGTCATACAGAGGGACAGGGCCTGTGACTGAGAGTTCGTACACTGAGAGAAAGGTCCAGCTTCCAAAGCCCCCGCTGGCCTAGCCTTCACCCTCCTCTCCCAGGTCACAGACCATCCTGAGTGTGTCAGCCTGGGGGGCCCAGATGACTGAAGCCCGTGGCTGACATCATGGGGATCTCTGGAGAGTCCTGTCAACCCAAAGAATCAAGAGGATTGATAAAATGAATTATCGTTTTAAGGTACCATGTTTGGAGGTGCTGTGACACACAGCGACAGACAACTGAAACAGCCTTCTTGCTTATCAGATCCTGGAACACGGGGAGTGTTAATCTCAGGAAAATTATTTGAGAGACACCATGGAATTGGTATCTTTAATTTTTTTTAAGCCTTGTGCTGGGTTGAAGAGCACCCCTATAAATTCATAATGATATAGAATGTGATTTGTAAAGGAAGTTATAGTGGATCAGGTGTCCTTCTGATAGATTGGTGACCTTTTCAGAAGGCAAATCTGGGACACAGAGCAGCTAGGTGACAACAGGCAGGATGGAGCAATGTGCCCGCAAGCCAACTGCTGAGCACTGCCAGGAGCACCTCAGCACCCAAGGGGCAGAGGAGGCTCCTCGTCCACAGCCTGCAGAGGCCTGGTCCTGCCGGCAGCCTGGTTTCAGACTCTGGGACGGAGAGCCGGCTGCGCTGCTGTGGCTGTCACCATGCAGGCCGGGTGAGCTGTTACGGCATCGACAGGGAATTGCTACAAGCCTGGATCCTTGGGTGGGCAGATAATAAGGTTCCCTAGTGGTGATAAGCAGTCTGAAAACCACCRATAGGAATACTCTCATGTTCTCTACACTAATAATAATTATGTTACAATAACTTGTGGCCAATCACAGTTTATGTTCCCCAAATAATTCTTGTTCATTTTCTCCAAAAAATAAATTAGCAAACAATTAGTTTCTCCCACATAAAGACCAAGTATGAGCCAGGTGTGGTAGTGCACACCTATAACCCTAGTTACTTGGGAGGATGAGGCAGGAAGAGCACAAGTACACAAGTTCAAGGCCAGCCTTGGCAACTTAATGAGTCTGTCTCAAAAAAAAAAAAAAAAAAAAGGCCCAGGGGTGTAGCTAGTGGTAGCAGTACAGCACCCTGGTTCAATCCCTAGTACAGCCGAACAGGTGGGCCAACAGGCCACAGGCTCCAGGGCCTCCTGTGCGAGGGGAAGGGAACGCGGTTTTAATTCAGCCATCAGCGTTCCAGGAGACCCTCGCACCAAGCTCTGCCTCCAAGGCTTTCTAAGCAGACACCACAAACCCTCTTTTTCCTTCCAGACCCCAGATGAGCAGCACCCTTGGCCCGCTCCCTCTCACGGCCTGGGGGAGGCTCTGGCCCCACGGCCGGCCTGGTCTCTGACCTGCGGCAGGACGACTTTCTTGAGCTGCTCCTGAGTGAAGTGCTCCACGTAGGCCTCGATGTGAGACAGCAGCACCAGCCGCACGTGCTCCTCATGAACCTGGAACAGCTGAAGCAGCACGGGGATCACCCGCGCCTGGAACAGGGCTGGCGAGAGCAAGCAAGGCGTGTCTCCCTGTGCATTATCTACCCCCAAAAGTGGAGGTTACAGGTGAGAAAGTAAATGGTTTCAGTGCAAAGTCCTGAACACAGTTCATAAACAGCCCAGAACACAGGTACTAAGTACTCTTCTCAATTCTTAGGCCCCACGCCAAAGAAGGGCTCTTCTATCAACCTAAAACCACTCCAGGTTTAACTGTGGAAATGTTTCTGAAAGAGTGGAGAGCACACTTCACAACACACAGAAAGCCTGTATTTCAACAGGATTCTGAATGAGCAACTTGATAAATTTATGTTCAATCAGTGAGGAATTTCTCATACTAGATCAGATTAGGGACATATCATATCATTGCGATTATATTTGCAAAATTAGAAGCAGTTAAGTGCTGCCAAGAGCTTTGATCTAGTATGGCAGTGATGAGAACAGTTATCAAACAGGAATGCAGAGGACCATCGGGGGTCTTTCAGTGGGTATGCCCATGTCCTGACTCAGTCTGGCCCAGAGCAACAGGCAAACACATGAGCATTCAAAAGAAGCAATGAAGTGATTCAGAGGTTCACCCCTGTCTGAGATCCACCAAGTAACAGAATGAAAGAGCTAAGAAGGACAATCCAAGGTTTGAAGGAATGACACTGAATAAGAGATACAAAAGAATGACATTGAATAAGAGATACAAAAAGATAAAACAACTTCCCACCACACTGGCTTTAACATAATTTGTTGAACTGAAATTGTTTAAGAAAATTAATTTTTAAAGCAGATCCTAGTTAAAAAATTCTGTAGTGTAAAATTTATGCTGCACTCCTAACCTGATGTGTTACCCCCTTTAGTGCTATAAAGTTATAACGTTTCAAAGCAATAATTCCATTCCACATTCAGGAAAAAACCTGCAGCCAAGTAGTAAACTGAGCTCAGTGATTTTCAGCCTCCTCACTGAAAATGGAAAATAAACAGGTTGTTCTGGAAAGTCAGGGGTGCAGGCCTAAGTGACTCAGAGCAAACGCGACAGTTCTTTGCAGGTACACACCTTACCTTAGACCTTCCCCAGGGTGTCCCACCTGAGTCCCACGTGTCTACATCTGTAACTACCACCCATCAACCTGACCCTTGGGGAAGGTGATCCATGTTTATCCTGTGGGCTTTGTATCCATAGAAGCCAAAAACTGCTCTCTACTTTTAGAACCAACATTGAACTAAACCATTCAGTAATTTCACTTTGCTCCAAAATGGACCAACAGCCACAAAACTTATTGATCACCAAAACCACGTTGAAAAAGAATTCACCTTTTTTGGGGCCAAGCAGATGAGGAAGAAAACTCTTGACAGCTACCGGCTCTGCAAACACCAACTGATTCAGCAGAAGAGGTACCAACCTCGAAGCTATTAATTCCTCTGACAAGCAGCTGACTCTATCCAGCAGAAATCTGAGGACAAAAAAGCAAAGGAAAGCCTGGGAAATTAATGACGACACTCTATCAACTCTCCTGCACAGGTCAGCTCCTCACGGCCTCCCTCCCACTTCTACCAAAGTGGTGCACTTCCAGAGGTAGCTGGGAAAGGTGAGGGGAGCGGGGCAGTCTCCAGGACCCTGAGACACATGCAGTAAGTGTGACCACGGCCAGCCAGCTGCCACACTATTCGCCAAGCTAGGGAGCTCTCGCAACAGATTACCCCTTATAATGAAGTGATAAGTGGCCAAAGTGTCCCCCAGGCCCCCTGATAGCCAGAGGCTTCCTAGATACAGATACTTTCTCAGATTTAAAAAATGCAAGATATTCCATTATCTAAAGTTTTCAAAGTAAACAAAAATACAGGCTTTTATTTTTAACCTTGTTGATTAAAACATACATAAAAGCATTCTATTGAGAAATAAGATAGGTAGCAACAGGGATAATATCCCTCCTCATAACCACCCTTAACAGATAACCTTGCCTCCATCTTTTTAGAAGCAAGCCCCCTCATGCGAGTCCCCGGTGTCTACATCTGTAACTTCCACACCATCAACCTGACCCTTCAGACCCCCACACCAAACACGGACGGCGGACTGTACCCACCCTCACCCCCACCTCCTCCCAAGGCCACCCCGCCCAGCCTCTGCCCCAGCATCCCCTTCTCACCTCTCTTCCATCCCTAGAAAGCCCTTCCTTGACACTGGCTCCTTCAGTGTGACGGCCACCCTTCTCGCTATGTTCCTGGGAGGTCTCACCCAGGGTCCACCTAATGCTCTCACCCCTCCGTGGACCCAGTGCCCGACGCACACAATACTCAGACTGTGTGTGGACACTCCTGCCATGAACAAGAGCCGCCTCCTGCCTATCCTGGCCTTGGACTCTGCCCTCCAGCAGGGCAGCTGCCTGCTTCCCACTGGAGTCACCTGGGTCTTGCCCTGGTGCCTGCTTTCCTGCGGCCCCATCTGAACAGCATTCCTGGAGCACCTGCTCCGGTCCTGGTTCGCGMAGTTCCCGCCAAGCTCTCCTGCTGTACTTGCCCCCTGTGTAAGCACTAGCAGGCGGGTATCTGTTTCCCTCACCAGGCCGCTCCCCCAGGGCCTCGCAGAAAGCCAGGCATGTAGGAAGTGTTCAGTAATGTTCTGAAATAAACCAAATGACAGCCTCACCTTCTCCAGATCTCCTCAAGTGATTACAGGGACTAAATCTAAGTTAGTAAATTTATGGTCTCGACTTCCTGAACTTACTTGAAGAATTCAGTTTTCTCCTCTTCACTCTTCAATGTTAAGCTTTTCAAGAAATTTACAACTTCTAGAAAATCATTTCTAAATGCCAAAAAGAAAAAATAATGTAGTTCAATAGATTAGAGTAGGCATGTTAAATATTGAAGCCATAACCAAAGACTGCACCATTATAATTTTCACAAAGAAACATTCTCTATGCCATTTAAAAGATTCCAAGTGGCTAATGAGACAAAGACTATGAGAATCTAATATTTTAAGAACATGAGAGATCTGTAAAGAGGATATAAACGATACAAACGCACATATGCTAACAGGCTTAATGGTCTTAAAAGTCACAATCATCCTCCAAGTTTTTTTCTAACAGGATATTGTTAAATGAAATGTCCTGAAGAAATGACATTATCATTACAAAATATGTGTTGATTCCCAATTCTCCTCTGATGAAGTAAAACCATGAAAGAGGACTGACTGGGAAAGTGGGATTTCTGTAAAAGTCAGGAAGCTTTTCGTTTTTCTTGCTATAAGTTAGTCTTTTTTTTTTTTTTTTTTTTTTTTTTTTTGGTAAGGCAGGGTCAGTTTCTTATGTAGTTTCCAGAGCCCCAAAGCTGTGGACCCTGGGCTTCAAGGAAGTGTTGCTCACATCTGCCCTGTGGACAGTGGCCCAGGGCTTGAGCACAGCAGGCAGAGCAGGCCTGGTGGGCACAACTGCCAGGGGCCTCCAGATCTGGCTTCCTCATACACTTGACTTCAAACAGCCCAGGGTTAGGGCATCACCCCCAGGCAGCTGATAGCCCATATATAACTCCCGAGTTCCCCCAAACTGAACTACTAATAGCCCACTATTCACCAAAAGCCTTAGTGATAGCATAAATGACATATATGTTGTACATCATAAGTATTGTACATGGTGAAAACACGTAAGAACATTGAGATCACCTTTACTATAGTACGMAATTTGGTAGAGATGAACTGCTCATATGGAGGTCAATCTCACAAGTCACTTCAGGCAGGTGAACCTCACGGGCTCACTTCGACAGCACAAGGAGGTGACATGCAGTCGTTGGAGGGACGGTACGTCCTGTGGTTGGTTTCATGATTTAACGCTGCATCTTTTTAACTGCTTACATCTCAACCGCAAGTGGCACCATTATATGGTCTGTGTGGAGGTTTCAACATTTCAACTCTTATCACAGATTTGTGTGTGTTCATGGTAGTAAAAGACACAACAGATTACCTAAGTGTATTACACTCATTATGACACACCTCTTTCTTGATTTTTTTCAACATTTCTAGGCTAAAATTCACCTGTAAAGTTTTTTTCACACTGTCAAAACTTTCTGCCCCACAAATAAAGAACCCACGTGTAAGGAGATCACAGCCTTGCAAACACACGTGTCCAAGGGCCAACTGTTTTTACTCCAGCTCCTGAGCAGGGTACTCAAATGTCTCAACCAAATCCAAGAACTAGGCCACCCGTCAGGCGGGGCAGGGCCCTGCCTCCCGACAGACCTCCCCACTCTGGGCATGGGGCTGGTTTCTTGGCTTTCTTCTCCCTCTCTAATAGGCAATTTTAAATAAAGAACTCATATTACACACAGTGATGGAAGACTCTGTTTAATGTGAAGGGTTTTTAACAGGATATTGTTAATCACACAGTGATGGGAGACTCTGTTTAATGTGAAGGGTTATTCTTTGTAAGGACTTTAATATCAAAGGAAATAAAGAATTCCTAATAATCATTAAATACTAATAATAATCATTAAATAATAATCATGAAAATACTGTGGCTAAAAGACTCATAAAGGTGAATATATACCTCTTGTATTTTTCAATTAAAAAAATGAAAAAAAACAAAAACTCAATGGTAAAGGTTTTGAACAGTGTCTCTGAAACAGGACAAAGAATCCCAATAACCACACATACACTCATTTACTCGTGTTCTACTCCCTAGTACTACCTAGGGTAACTCTCCCCCTCCCCCTGCTTCTCCCCACCTCCCTAACTGCAAACACAAAAGGATACTTAAGTCTCAAAACCAACAAAGTTAGCTTTGCTAATAAAAGCTATGAGCATGGAACTAACTTGGTAAGTTCTGCAGTCTTGGAAATAAAAAATGAAGGACATATAATTAAAACAAACCTTGAAGAGAAGTTTAAAAACACCTCTGAATCCAGAAAACGATTAAGTTACATTGTACTCCTCCCTCTAAACGAACTTGCTTGTTCTTCCACACATATTACTGAAGAGAGAAATCTTCTGCCTAAAGAAAAATGAACTCACACACCTCCCAATAAGAAAAATTCAAAATAACCGATTCTCATCAGTCATAYGATGGCAGCAGAACAGGGAGGCCAGTCTGTTAACTGCTTCAGTCGGCTTGGAGCTGGGAGCCGTGGGACACAGGCCGGCTTCTTCATGACCAAGCCTGAGGAAGCGGGARGACTTCCAAACCCCAACCTCCGCGGCAACCAAGAATTTCTAAACTTTCCRTCTTTGATGGGAACCTGACGGATCCAACTTCTCCCTCTTTTCTCCTGTGAACACCAGTCAGCCTCCTAATAATCAGMAGCACCAGGGACTGCTTCCTCTGGTCCTCCCAGCCCCCAGCCACGGCAACAGTGGGACACGCCAAGGCCCTCACCTGAAGAAGTTGTGGGACAGTAAGGTACAGAGCGCCGGCCGACACTGAGGGATGGGATGCAGCACAGTTGAGAGCAAGGTCTGCTGGAAGCTGGAGAGCACGTCCGCTGAAACTGAAATCCAGAGCGACAGTTAGTCCAGCTTTCGCCYTCCTCAGGGCCTCTACGGCTGCAGACTGGTGAGACCAAAGCCACCTGTAAAAGCCCAGACAAACAGAGCCCGGCTGTCGCTGAACCGCTTCCTGCTCGCTTCAAGCCCAGGTCCTGGCACGTGGAGAGCCAGCCTGCCAACACAGCCAAGCCAGGCCAAGTGCCTCCCCTCCCACGCCTCCCATTTCCTGGCTATTCCGCTCAGGTCCAGGAAGTGAGTAAGCAGCAGGTGGGAGGGGGCTTTCTCAACCAGGGTTCCTCATCCACAGGACACAACTGTTTGAATGACTATTTTCAATTCTTCCAAGGATGGCACACAATTGTCCCCATGCTAGGGGCATGGGAGAGTAGTTAGTTCCCTGAACACAGTGGATGCCTTGTTGTTCAAGTATTCAGACTAGGACGATTTAGGGCTAAGAGGTGACATCCAAAGCCTAGCAGAAGAAGTGACATCAGCACTGCAGAAGGCTTGGCAAGTGACACCAAGGCCAGTAAGGGGCYCCGCATGGCATGCACCTCTGTAAACTCGCTGGAGAGTGACGCAAGCCGCCGAGCATGCCGTGAGAGAATGGAGACAGACAACAGAAAACCATGCCTTTAACAGCCTGGGCCTCAGGAGGCCATCAAAGGAAAGAGCAGTGGGCAAATTACAGCAAGAAAAAATAAACCAAAAAACTCTTGAAAGACCAAAAAATGTTAAGCCTGACAAGAAAATATTTTTGAGTCTTACTCTATTATTCAGACTACTATATCTTAATCATTATGGCATTTATTTACTTATTGGCTGGCTCAYTAAGGAACAGTCTTTAGACCATAAAATATTATTATCAATAAGGTTATCACAGGAGACTGAAAGCTATAGTTCAAAGTGCTTCCTACTTAAAATTCTTTTCACTACTGATACTAATGAAATGCAAAGCTTGTTTCCTTATTGCTGTTGACACTTGCTCTAAACAAATTACATGGTAAGCAACAGGTCCCTTACTATGATCAAAGACTGAAGTTCCTTGAGTTCTACGCTGGGCAGGCCTGCATTACTTTCTTACTTAGTCAGTGGATGCAGTATTAACTCCAACTCACCCTGTCCACGTAAGACTGTGAGCAAGCCTTCCACCAGTGTTCCAAACGAGTAGGCATCCCGGGCATGTCCGTGGGACTCCGGGAGAGAGCTGAACTCTGGAGACTAGAAGCAGTAAAGACTTTTAAAACTAGAGCATTATAAACTATTCCTAACTCTCTCCCATGTTTGCATTTATTACACTCAAATCTAACTTCACAGTACCACACACTCAGTTATAGCTTTCAAAACTATTAGTATACCATATAAAAAATATTGATCATCTGTAGCAATCAGGGAAATGCAATCAAAACTACMCTGACATTTCATCTCACTCCAGAATCATCAAGAATACTAACAATAAGCTAGGCACAGGGGCACACACCTATAATCCCAGCAAGGGGAGGGTGCAGGGGGTACTGGGGAGTGAAACTGATCAAGTAATGTGGTCATGTAGGTGTGAATATGCCACAATGAAACAYGCCATTCTGTGTAAGTGAGATGTACCAATAAAAAAAAAGCAGGACTTAATACTGGAAAAAAAATTTTAAAAATGATTAGCAAATGAAATTTATCAAAGATTTTTAAAATATGAAATAGGATCAAAAAGAAAATAAAAAGATCACAACATAATACATGTTTGTGGCTTTCAAAAACATATTTAAAAGTTAATTTTACAATGCAGTGTGCAGACATAACACAGTATGCATATAAACACACACATAATGAAAACGAGTTTCACAAAACAATACTAAGATGCCTAGTAATGATTTTTTTCACTCTATTTTTTAATTTTTTCAAAATACTGTCCAAGACACCCTTAAACTATCTTAAAACCCACAAATCACCAGTTTGAAAAACACCAGTGTATGCCATGAATAAACCTGATTTATGTTAAGTCTAAGGTCCATATTAAGTTTATACTTGGTTTGTAATTCTATAAAGCACACTAAACATGTCTTTAGGGATTAATGTCATTTATAGTGGTTATAAGAACAAACTTACAGAGGGCATCTGCTTTTGAATTTATCTGTGAATAGAATCTTTCTYCACCAGAAACAGGGTATTAATAACCACTCAGTACACATCCTGGAATCYCAAGCAAGGGCCAGCGAGACAGACGGATGCAAAGACAGGGGTGAAGCAAAGGAAAGGGCTAGCCTGACCTCATGGCTTATGTCAAGTACAAAGCCAGTGTGCTTTGGATGTGACATCCCCTGTTCACACTGGGGGCACTCCATCTCTAAACAATAGCACAGGACCTATACAGCCAAAAACTGTAAGCTGGCTCCCTGGCTGTGGTAGTAAGATTAATCCTAGAAGCTCAAGGCTAGAGGAATCACGAGGCATCCATAATTTAATAAAGGCCTGGGAGAAGTTTCCCGCTCAGCTGCACAAGTGGGCCTTCATCACATCCGACGCATATCATCTTACCATCTCTTCAGGAGGGATAGACGCCGGGTCTCTGACTGCCTGAATACTCCTCAGAAACTAGACAGAAAAATAAATCAAGAAAAGCAGTTCTTACGCATTTGGCAAAGCAACCTTTTAAACCTATTTATAAAAGCCATGAGCAATAGAAACAGCAGCAATGAAACCTTTCCATCAATGTCACATATCCAATATGCAAATTTAAAATCTTCCTGATTAAAAAATGTAAACCAGTAATTGGCACGGAGCAATTCTTAGTGAACATAAAAGTCCCCTTTCTCTGCCTTCCAGCTGGTTCACACATACCCCATGCTGCTGAGAGGCATCTGTGCATCTGATTTCCTTATACAGAAATTAGAAATACTTCTTTCTCTTCCCGCATAGACATTAAGAAGTAAAAGGCTCTTCAGCTGTTGGTGACAGTGTGCACCTGTAGTCCCGCTACTCAGGAAGCTGGGAAGAGCACTGCCTGAGTCCATAAGTTTGAGGCCAGACTGGGTAACACAGTAAGACCCCATTTAAAAAAAAAAAAAAAAAAAAAAGGCTTTTCAGCACAGGATACATCGCTTATCAATCTTGTCTTTGTCACTAAATCAGGTGGAAGTCTTGTTGCACATGAAACTTTATAAGCTATGGAAACAAAACTAATATCTATAGAATGAGCATATTCATTCACCTAATCAAAGAAGTTTGATTATCCAATAAACATCATCTAAGGCACTAGGAATACAAAGGACAGCCACAAATTCCCTGCCCCCAACCCCATGCTCACAGCCTAGAAGGTACATCAGGGATTTCAGTAAGTGAAGCACAGGATTTTTGTAGGGTAGGACAACGCCCGGAGGAAGGATTCACAGAGAGGAGACTCAAGCGAGATCTTGGATGAGCTGGCACTTTTCAGGGAGTTCAGGGGAAGAAAGGCAGCCTGGTAACAGAATGGCAGAACAAGCAAGAAGAGAGTGAGGCGAACAACCAGTGCAGCAGCCCGGCTTCGTGACAGAGTGCGAGCAGAGCAGGAGCACTCCAAGTGCTGCGTGGAGCTGAGGCGGGCTGGGAAGACTGTGGAGGGCCTGTGCACCACCCCAAGAAGCTCCTTCTGTGGGACGAACCCACAGGACCGTGTGCTGCCTGCCATGCTAACTACAGGAGGGAGACTTTAGAGAAGGCAGCCTCACCAAGAGGGATGACTCAGGTAGTACTGCATTTGACTGATCAAGAGTCCAGGAAGGTGCCCACCAGACTAGGCCGAGCTGAGCACCAGACAGCACGCAGGAAAACACTGAAAGCTAGACTGAGCCACCGTGTCAGTAGGGGGATTGGGATGGGAGTGGTTTTCACTTTTTTTTAGAGAGAGTAAGTCCATCAGAAACATGCAAATGGTGAAAAGAAGAAACAAAACAGAAAAACAGTCCAGTTCTAAAAAGAATTGCAGGTGGATCTGTCCGACAAAACCGCAGGCTATACCCCAGGAGCAGCAGCCCAGCCGCCAGGAGTTAAGATGCACAAGTCCCAACTCTAGTCGCTGGACACAGCATATGTTCAGGGAGCACCCCTGAATGCCTAATTCGAGACAGGCACTCGGCCAGGTGCAGGTAGAAAGATAAGGTCAGAGGAGCTACCCTCAGGAGGCTCAGCTGCTGGGCAGAATCAGACACACAGAGGCAATTTCAACACAAAGCAGTGAATGGCATGATCAAAGGAAGTGCTGCACTGCAGCTCAGGAGCAGAAAGGCAGGCGGTTAATTACAACATCTGAACAAAACCATTTCACCTCCCTCATTCTCAGGTTCCTCATCTATGACACGAGAAGAGTACATGACCCCTAGTGCTTCCTGGAGGGATAAAACCCTACAACTCCATGAACATGGGCATCCACAAAGTTCAAGTCTCCAGACCAGCATGGCACTGACCCTGGGGGGCAGTGCCAGGGCAAGAGCACACAGAGGATGCCACCAGTGCTCAGGGGAAAGAGGCCTATCACCTGGCTTACCTCGGGAGTGGCCTGAGGAACTTTACACACAGTTTCCATTCCTCCTAGCTTCCAGTGCCCATCTTCACTCACAAACACAGATGATAAGCAGACATTGTTGTGTGTGAGGTGTCCCTGGAAAAAAAAGAACAGGAAGACTGCCACTCCAACTTTGAAGAAGAAGTCTTTAAAAAAACTACTAGTTACCAAAAAAAGATTATGACAAGATCTTCCCACTTGTGGACTGATATCGGAAACTACCAAGGGAATGAGGTCAGAAGAAGCGGAGAGTGCCCTGGGGAGGCTCCTGGCCCCTCCCTGCCTGCTGAGCAGGAGAAGGAAGACACCCAGYCAGCGCAGGCCAGTCACGCCCCACCTGGAAATAGGGACCCAGGTGTCCCTAACACGAATCCACCAGTCCTGCGGCCTAGCTCACTTGCACCAGTGCCTTTAAAGATAAAATTTATCTTTGCCCTCATAGGTTATTTTATTCATTTTCTGCTCTAAATTCTTTCTTACCTACATTCTATCATGAACCCAGATCCACTTCACCTGAAATCTTATCAGTAAGCATTAAAAAAATTCTGCCTGAAGAAGAAGAAAAGGGAATGAGAAGGACCAGCAGAAATGCCCCACAGACCACAGAAGAGTCGATTTTAAAACTATAAAAAATAGTTCAGTCAAATAAGAGAAAAGGAGAAAGTGAGAACAGGGTTTGAGTATTTAAGAATTTTCCCAACCAGAAATCATTTCAGTAGATGGAAGAGCTCTTTAAATTTTCTACCCATGAGATCAAATTTGTACATATTTTTATACAGAACACTCTAAAATATATATAAAGAAAAGTTTAGAATAGTATATATGGTATTTTCATTTGAGGAAAAATAAATAAGCATAAAGATATTTGCTTTATATGCCCAAAGAATATCTCTGCAATAATACACAAATCACCATAGTAGCTTCTGGAGAGAATTCGCTGAAGGACTGGAGAGGGACTCTCCCTACAGGCAGTCCTAMTATCAGCACGCCTTGTTCCAATAAAGATGTTCCTCCCCAGAGAAGCTTAACAATGTTAGTTATCACATGAACTTGTAAACATGCTTTTACGACGTTATACATCCCACATAATATTTGGAGAGTCTGTCTTCCATATAGAAAAAAAATGAAAACATGCATTGAAATGAGTCATATGCAAATGTCTCTAACCTAAGACTGGTGTTTTTTCATTAAGGAGAACTGCTGAAGATCTGAATGTGTCAGAATGCAAATATCATTAAGGAATTATAGCTCCAGGGCTGGGAAGATGGTTCAATGAGAGCACTTGCCCAGCATGTATGAGATGAAAACAAACAAGAAATAGTAGCTCGATAAAATTGTCAAGACATAGATCAGAAGTAAACATAGGAACCATAATAATAGTAAACATTACCACAGGCCAAGTAGCCTGGCTACTCCAGTATTCAGAGGCTGTTTCTCAACTGGTCCCACCCAAGTGGGATAGGATGTGTCTAAACTCTGCCTCTAAGAAATGGTCATTTCTTCAAAATTTAAAATTGCACAAAATTCCTAAAAACAAATAGGAATTGTGGTCTACAGCAACACTAATATTAACTTTTTGTTTTAACAAGCATCAACTGAGCCAGGCATGGTGGCACACACCTCAAATCCCAGCAACTAAAGAGGCTGAGGCAGGAGGGCTGAAGGTTCAAGGCCAGCCTCAGCAACTTAGCAAGACCTGTTTCAAAATCAAAAGGTCTAGGGATGTTCCTCAGTTTCAGAGCACCCCTGAGTTCAATCCCTGGTACCAATGAAAACAAAACACAACCAGGAACCAGCTGAGGCTGTTTTCAGGTAAAAACTTGTCCAAAACTAGGGGGAGACCACGGTAACCTCAAAATAAAATTGTACCAATAACTGCCCAGGGACAGAATGTGCTGCCCATTGCACAGACCACCTGGAGCGTCTCCATCTTGCCCTTTCAACRTGTTCTCTGTCTTACAACTTCCACATATACCATGCTTCACAGCACTACTACACACTCATCCCTCAGGCTCCATCAGAGCCCCTGAGCTGGACTGTACAGGTCACTTACTCTGTCGTGAAGGAAGATGAGAGCCAGCAGAATGTCATAGATCCCAGAGCAAATCTCTGCAGAAGACAGCCTTTCCAAGGCCACTTCCAGAGGCTGCACTCTCTCAGTGACCAGATGAATGCCATCTGCTTCCACGGTACATGACAGGAATCTCAGCAGGCAGGGGTGACGCAGTGTCTTCAAGTGCTGTAAAACGTAAACAGAAGAGCTGATGGAGCCGACGACTGGACCCAGAGCAGCATCACGCACACGGGGGAAGAGGGAAACCGCACACTTGCCCCTGCAGGTCTCCCCAGCTCCTACCCTTCCCCATAGTTCCACCAAGACAAGGGGGATCTCAGTCTGTTCTCATTCCATTCAACTTATCAACAGCTAAATCAACCCACAGACCTGCACTTCCCTTAGGGCAGTGCCCGCCCTCTGTGCCCAGCCTTCCCAGGAAGTACCGCGACACATTCCCAACACACTGCGGAACCCTCACAAGGCAACAGAGGGGCGAAAAGCCTGGARGACAATGTGTGTGGGACGAGCTTCTGGTCTGGGAGCTCTGGCTCATCTTGCCACTGTGCAGCAGAGGCAGGCATCCCCTGAAGGCAGCGTGACAGAGGTGACAAAGGCTCCCCCAGCAAAGTCCCGCCATCCTTCTGGCCAGAAAAATCACAGAGAGGAATCCTGCAGGCTGGAGTGCCAGGAGGCTATCCCTGAACAACAGGCACAGAACAGACCCGAGGTGGTGCAACAAAGTGCTGAGAAGAGAACTGAGATCTGAACTTGCATTCCCAGGAAGGGTGAGAGGGGCGTAGTTCAAAAACCCAAGGCCCAAACCTAAGGGGTTAACACCCTGCTGTATCAAATACACCTACATCCTCAGAGTGTCACAACAGAGCCAAGAGTCTATGCAGCATATTCAGGATGCAACCCACCATACAAAGGACTGTGGAAATGCCATGAATTTTTAAGGGAATGAGTGTTAATGAGCCTGAAGATATTAACCAATCTGAAGAACAGAGAAAAAAAAAAGTATCTTCTAAAAAATGATGAGAGCATCAGGAACAAAAAAGTCTAATGCAGATAATTTAACTTCCAAACAAGAGGAAAAATGAATTGGAACATTAAAAAAAAATAGTGGCTGAAAACATAAATGTGGCCAGATACTTAATTTACAGAGTTAAGAAGTTCAGTGAAGACCATACGGTCTCTTAAAAACGTAAAAACCTCCTGAGCTCAAGTCTGCTGACCCCAGCTGGGCATGGTGGTGTACACCTGTATTCCTAGCAACTCCTGAGGCTAAGGCAAGAGGACCACAAGTTTGAGGCTAGCCTCAGCAACCTAATGTCTCAAAATAAAAAACAAAAGGAGGAGCTGGGAATGTGAGTCAGTGGTTAAATGCCTGAGTTCAATCCCCAGCACCTAAAAAAAAAAAAAGTTTGCAGACCTGCTACAGACCATTAACAAATGTGACTCTTTTACAAAACATTTTAATATTGTTCTCACCTTCTTATTTATCACCTATTTAATCCCCTTAAAATATTTAAAGTCTCTTTTAAATTTTTGATTTTTTTATTATACATAAAAGTGACTGCCATTTTTGTGTTCACACTCCTCACCAATAAATAATGTCAGTTAAGTACCTTATATATGTATACTAGTTTGTTGTTGCTGTTTATACTGGGGATTGAAGCCAAGGGCACTTTAGCCACATACCTAGTCCTTTTTGAGACAGGGTCTCTCTAAGCTGCTGAGGCTGTCTTGAGATCCTCCTGCCTCAGTCTCCCAAGTTTCTGGGATTGTAGGTATGTGCCAACATGCCTGGTCTACATACTGTGTATTTTTTTCATATTCTACATGAACTACATATACTGTAAAACACAAAACAGAAAGTACCAAAAGACTTAGATATTCCCAGTGCTTTTTCTCCACAACTGCAATGTTGCACAATACCTCAAGCAGGAACCCCATTTTGAGAAGTCCTCAGTATGAGATCCTCCCCTCCCTCACCTCTTTCCTTAGCAAAGACAGTAAACACACCTTCCTGACAAGCATAAGCCATTTCTGTGTCTGAACACAGGGGCTGGGTCAATTAAATCTGTAGGGTCTCTCCTTCTTTGGTTGGCCCTTTTACAGCCCCRTTGGGAAAATCCCTATGCATATTTTATGAGAATTACTTAAGTAATTAAAGAGTTCCACAGTCTAATATTCTCACCCCAGGTAATAACTTATCATTTATTTACAGCAAAACATAAGCTGCTGAAATGCTATGGTATGACCTTCAAGCTCTGAGGTCTACCCTGTACTAGCCTTAGGTCACAGGGGGGAAATCTTGGAAGCCGGTCATTAGATTGGGAGGAGATGGAAAGGAGGATTTCACTGAGAGCATAACCTTCAATTTAACACTAGGTTTCATTTTCACAAATAAGTAGTTGATACTGAATGTTCTAAATACCTCCTTGAAAGGAGGACAGCATCAGAGTCCATAACCCAGCCTTGCTACAATTTTTCTATCAGCTGGCTCAAACCTATTATAAACTTCTTCCACAGAGGAATCTTCTGAGCATGTTGGATTCTCTAATATTTTAATTTTCATTTTATTCATTTATTTTATCTGGGGGGTACTGGGGATTGAACCCAAGGGAACTCAACTACTGAGCTATATCCCTGTCTTTTTTATTTTCTGTTTTGAGCCAGGGTCTCACTAAGTTGCTGAGGCTGGCTTTGAACTCCAGAAGCTCATGCCTCAGCCTCCTGAGTTGCTGAGGTTAGAGGTATATGAGCCATTGTGTGCATTTAAAACAATTCACACATATGCAAATAGAAGATAGTAGACATGCAGATGAGCCAAAATTGGTGCTAGCCAGTTGGTCAAATGAGTGTGGTTAGCTGAAGAGAACATCCTAAGAGTTATATTCGGAGCTAGTTTGTATGTAAAATCACACACACATCTCAGTTTTTTTTTTTTTTTTTTTGGTACCAGGGATTGACCTGAGGGCGCTTAGCCACTGAGTCACATTCTCAGCCATTTTGATTTTTTTATTTTGAGGCAGGGTCTTACTAAGTTGCTGAGGCTGGCTTTGAACTTGTGATCCTCCTGCCTCAGCCTCTCCAGCCACTGGCGTGCACCATCATGCCCAGTCACCACATTTTCATTTTTTTAAAAATACTTTTGTTTTATTTATTTATTTTTTGTGGTGCTGAGAATTGAACCCAGGGCCTCACATGTGCAAGGTGAGCGCTCCACCGCTGAGCCACAACCCCAGCCCCACATTTTCATTTTAAGAATCATTTCAAATAATTTTCAAACCAAACATGAAATATTTCCTTTTTGGCTGCTCAAGATAAATTCTTCATTCAGTTTTGTCTTAGAGCTCTGATCACTTTCTTTGATTTCAGGTCCCTTCTTTCGTTCTCCTTTTAGCACTCAGGATAGACTTGATAGACAGTAGGAGCCGCCTGGTTCAGTGTTAACAGGGAATAGTTAATAAGTGGCCACCTGATTTTCACTTTTGCTTCTGCTAATTTTTTTTTTTTTGCCCTAAATACCCCAGAAAAATTCTTGCTCCAAAGTGAGTTCCTGCTTGTTTATAATAAAAGAAAAGAGGAAGAAATGACCCACTGCATGAATCTGAACAAGACACTTAGCAAGAACCTCATCTGTCATTGCCCTTGAATACAGTCAATATTCTGCAAAACCATGCAGATTCACAGGAAGGACCAGAAGCTAATCAAATCACAATGTTTCTTGGGTCAATCTTCTGCTGCTTCTAAGAACAAGGGGAACAGGCTACACCTGGGGAGGGCAACRTGGTTATTTTCTCAGTGACCCCAATTGAGCAAATCAATGGCTCTTGTTCTGGTGGAGGTAACTTGTTGAATGTCTTGAATGCATGTGCCCCAAAGTTAGGACTCCAGTTGGATTTATTCCCTGTTCCAGGCGCTCACCTCTAAAGCACACAGCTGAGCAAGGTCACTTACTAATGGATACAACTCCCAACATCTGTGCTATCTGTACTTACCTATGTCCATCCATTCAGAGCTCCTCAGTTTGAGAGTCTAGCCCTGAATATAAACTACTCCTGTTTTCAGGAATCACTAAAGACCCAACCATCTAGGAAATTAATTCAAGCCTTAGAGGCTTAACTTTCCACTGTTGTTCTGCTCTTGATTTGTTACACCATTTTGAGAACTACAAAAAGTTAACTGACTCAATGTTCTTATCTATAGCTTACATCTACCTTCACACTCTAAAACAGGAAAAAAATCTACACTTTCACACCGTTAAATAAATATAACGAAACAGCTAAGATGACTAAACTGGAGAGTAATAATCTTTCAGGAAAAAATACTATTCCTTCTTCCCTAAAGATGCACATCTGGGACAAAGATGTAGAGACAGTCTGTCTTTGTGTACCATGTCTGAAGGTTAGGTCATAAACTAGGAATAAAATTCAGGAAACATAAAAAAATGGATAAACAATTAGTCTGGGTAGAAATGTGGATGACTACAAGCGTCAGAGGAGAAACAGCAAAAAAGTCAGGTCTGGGAAGCATGGTGGGAACCAGGATATGGCTAATTCTGTCTGATGGCTGCATCATACCTAAGGAACAGGCAAATACGTCTTAAGTTCTGAATGGACACTGAGCAGGAGCCCTGTGAGAACACCAGGATCTGATCATGAGAGGGGAAGAGATACCCTCTGTAACTGTTAACTACATGGCAAGTTGGTTTACAATGAATTGGACGTTGTAAATAGTGTAAGAAAGGCCTATAAGGGAGAGGGAACGTGTCGATGTGAGGAAGAGAACACCTGCCCAACGGCAGACACAGCTGGTCAAGCCCACACAGTGCAGGCTCTCCAATACTTCAACAAACCCTTCCACTATGCAGCCGGAGCCCTTCAGTGTCTCCCAGAACACCAAATCATGTACTTGGATGACAGCTACATACTTATGCCCAGATATGTGATTCCTGTATGAAGACTGAGGAGTTGTTTTTACAGCTTGTAATTACCACAAAGCCTTAACTAAGCACTTTGATTATAACAAACAACCATAACCAAATTCTGACTGAGAATTTATCATTCTTAACAGGCTGTTAGAAATGAGTCATAATCACCAGTAAGCAAATCACACTATTAATGACAGCTGAGGAATTCAAGACCAAATGAGATCTTCGGGCCTAAATATTTTCATATTGGTTTGTGACCAGAGCTCTACTTGCATTTCAGTTACATACACCCACAAACACACAGTTATATATTTATCTATTTATAACAGTTGACTATCTGTATCATTTTTTGATTTTATAATAGTAAAGAAAGAACAATACTACCCAATAATATTTGCCAMGGAAAACACTATCTGCTTAAAAGTGTCATCAGAACTTTCAAAGGCAGGATGAAGAACTCAAAACACCAGTGAGAGTTGAGATAACTACACTGCTTCAAAATTTCAGATATCGAGGACATCACATTCCTAAAACCTAATATACTGAATGTTATATATGTCTCAAGTACTGTGACCTAGTTTGTGGGTAATCAGAAATAGAATTCTGACAATGTAAATTCCTTAGCACTTTGTTGCCATTTCAAATTTCCGTGATTCAAGTTTGAGTTTCAAAGCGACAGAATGGCTGACACATTACGAGTAGATCTTTGGTTTTTTCCCTTTAAAAATTTTATGATTTGACTTTGGATTTCCTTTACATGTGTTCTTTCTTAATTGTAAACAATTTTATAATTTTTCATAAACATCAAATTTTTCTACATATTTTTGCTTTCAGTAATATGATAACTCTGCTTAGTATATTGTCAGTAGATAGAAAATTGCTTTCTTTGACTAAATTTTTTGTTTATGTAGATTAGCTCAGAGGTGCAACATCAAAAAATTACTAGCCATTTTCAGGGGGTGGGGGATGACATAGGGTCTGGCATAATTCTTGATGCTTCTACATCCTTAACAGAACACATCAAATTYGGCTTTCATTCTGTGTGTCTCTCAATTCTGAACATTTTCTATAGTTCGCTAGCTTAGATTGGAATGTCATATTTCATATGGAGGTTTGCAACTATGTCTCAATAAATGGTYYTTTCYMWMAAAAAAAAAAAATTTATGATTTGGGGCTAGGGTTGAGGATCAGTGGTWGCACACTTGCCTGGCATGTGTGAGGCACTGGTTAGATTCTCAGCAGCGCATATAAATAAAGAAAATAAAGATCTATAGAAAACTAAAAAATATATATTTAAAAAAATTGATGTTCTGGTTTACTTGACTTTCAGGGTACATATGCCGGATATGATTTTTAAAAATCATATRGTCTGAAGGAAAAAACTAACAAATATTATAAATTATAAATTCTAGTATCTGACTGGATATGATCAATTAAGCTATTTAAAAAAAATAAAAAACAGCTGGGTGCTGTGGCACACACCTGTAATCCCAGCAACTCAGGAGGCTGAGGCAGGAGGAGGGCAAGTTCGAGTCAAGCCTAGGCAAACTAGTGAGATCCTGTTCCAAAACAAAAAATAAAAAGGGCTGGGGATGTAGCTGAGTGATAGAGCACCCATGGGTTCAATTCCCAGTACTGGATTGGGGGACAGTGGGGAGGGGGGATAATCTTATTAGAAGAAAACACAAGAGGTATGTTAGACATTAACCAATTATTATCTTTTTAAATTGTCTCTTTTGCAAAATTACAATCAAAAAATTATTAACAATTCTCAGATGGGATAGATAAAAGAGAAAAAAGTGGCTTTACCAAAAGGCAAAATTACCCAGCAAAAGAACTAGCTATACTTTTTTACCACATAGTATTACAAGAAAATGTATTCTGGACTAAGGGTGTAGCCCGGGGTGGAGCACTTGYCTAGCCTGTGTGAGGCCCTGGGTTTAATCCCAGCATAGCATGCATGTGTGAATGAAGAAATGCACGAGTAAATGAGGGAATGAAAAGACTGTTACACCTGTCTTTTTCCTAGGGAACTATCTTATAACTGTTCATTTCACACTTAACCTAAGACACAAAATCAAATAATTATTATGACCAATAAAATGCCAAAATTATATTACTAATACAACCTTTTATAACCATTAAAAAAATAAAAATCATTTAAAGAGCTATATAAAATAGGTATCCATGTTTCACATCAATTGATATCAAAAAGTGACTCATGGTAATACAGATCATAATTCTTACAAAGTTATTAAACTCAACTTGAAAGTACTCCTGACATATTAAACACTCAAGAATTAATTAAAGAATACCACTGTATTTTTTCTTTTATAAACTTCTAAAGATAAAATTAATGTCTGCCAAAGGACAAGGAAATATCAACTAACACCTTTCTTTTCTCTAATTATGAAAGACTTGAGATTAAAATGATATTCCAATCCAAGGTAGAATTGTTTCTTATATCTCTTTTTCTTCTTTTTTTGGTGGTACTGGAGATTGAACCCAGAGCCTTGTGCATGTGAGGCAAGTCCTCTACCACTGAGCTACAACCCCAGCCCTAGAACTGTTTAAGACGTGAGGGCCCCTGACAGTGCTCAGACAGCATGCCAGTGCACTGGCCACTCAGCCAGGAGCAGCTCTGACTAGGTATAAACAAGAACCTTCTTCCTAAGGAGGAAACTAAAGCCTCCAGAGTTAGCAACCTGTCCAAGGTCCCTCAGCAAGAACTAGAGCCAAGGGCCAACATTCTTTCTGTCCAACACACCAGTGTAAAACTCTTTCTGGGACATCACAATGTCTCAGGAAAAGAAAAACATGACAAAGTTCCTAAAATATTTTATTTTCAAGTGTTGGTAATTAATTAATATGACAATGCTTACAGCATTTTTGCTAAACTAGATTAATTCCCTCTTACATAAGCCATGAAAAATCATTTTCTTTTCTCATTAAAAAAATTAGCTATGATGACAGAAACCACTGCAAGGAGTTTTATGAGGTTTGGGTTCAGTTATGGTATCTGTTGGAAATAAACCCACAAAATAAGGATAACTATGTTGATACAGACCATCAACGATATTATTCCTTATGCCTTACCTCCTTTGATCTCTATTAATTTCATTTTTAAAAAACAGAACACAAGATAGTAAAAAGCACTAACTATCAAGCCATCACCTATTAAGGTACCTTGGCAGCTTTATTAACTTTGTCTTCATTTTCTCTTTTATATACAAAAACTGAAGCAAATTTGCCATCTTGCAGCACAGCAGGATAAACAGCAAGTCCAGAGGGCAAAGTAAATGGTGGCTCTTTCAGCGTATAGCTTTTTAAAGCACTGTTCTCTGATCCCATCCCTTAGGCAGCAAGGCCGTTCTGCAGCTCCTCTTCAAAGCCAAAGGGATCTAAAAGAAGACAAAACAATGGTAAACATGAATTCTATCTGCAATGGGAGCAGAGCTGTTCAAGGTCTCCAGAAACAGCCAAACTGTTTCTGCAACCTTGTAACTAGCACATTTGACAACAGAAATGGTTAACTGCTCAGCAAGTTATCAACAATGCTTGTTAATGAACACCAAACAAATCCAGAGAAAATGTACATCACCTACCAGTTACGTGCAATTATMGTACTCACCCAAACCCCGCGTGATACAGGAACTTTCAGTTACTTAGGAAAGCAACCAAAAAATAAAACAAGGTAACTCATATTTCTAATCAACTTACAATCCTGCCTCACAAAGGAAATGTTGTAAAACTTGGTTATTCAAAAACAATAGAACTTCTGTATGTCTAATATGTAACTATAAAGGAAAACAAAATACAAAGCATTAACAGTACGTCATAGAAACAAGGAAAAGATTAAAAGAGCAGTAGAATAATGGGAAAGAAAACATAACTCATTGAAGAAACACAAATTACAATAAAGAAAAAGTACAGTCTCACAACTCTTTAAAGTTATGCTTAAAAAAAGGAGAAATGGCAAAATATATAATCACAAAAGCTAAAACACACAACTCATTGAAGAAACACAAATTACAATAAAGAAAAAGTACAGTCTCACAACTCTTTAAAGTTATGCTTAAAAAAAGGAGAAATGGCAAAATATATAATCACAAAAGCTAAAACACACACACATAAAATTCTTGAAAATGCAAACTGCTTCATCACAGAAAACAGGTAAGTGGTTGCCTAGAGAGGAGTCACAGAGGAACAAAGGTGTGTGAGGAAACTTGTGGGGGGTAGATATATATATTCAGTATTTTGATTATAAACATACCAAAGGGTGATTACAAATGTCAAAACTTATAAAATCTTGTTATGTTCAGTCTCTTCTATATGATTATACTTCAATACAATTTTTTTAAAATACATGCATATATACATGCATACACAAACACAAGAGACCTCCCAAATCTTCTATAATATGAACATGTCATTCTTTACAACAGAGATACAAATTCACAGAGTTGCAAGAGGWACCAGGAGTGCAGCAGGGATGGTGGAGCAGCAAAGGGCCTACTATGTGCGCACTGGCAACTACTGTGAGAAGTTGGCATTCTGAAGGCAATAGCTGTCACAAAGCTCAGCTCAACCACTTATGATGAGAAACTGAGAATCAGATAWTTTGAGGGGAATTTCAATATTATTCAATGTTGCTCAAAAAAAAAATTTTTTTTAAACCTGTGTAGGCCAAACAACAAATGTCTGGAATATTTATGAAATCAGTTTTTAGTTTTGGCTTTACCATATACGAAAAAATTTTAAAATAAAAGAATTCTAATTCTAGTCATGTGGCAAGCAAATTGCTAGTTCTAAATAGCACAGCCAAAAATTCCACAGAGATTGTAAATATTTCTGTTAAAAATCTGTAATTTGGGGGAACGTGTAAACYAAATAATGATTATACATAGACTCTACCTGGATTTTTTTTCTAGGYTATCCATGTAATGCTCCCAACACATATCGACCACAGAACCTGAAGTACCTACAGACCCACATACACCATTATATAAGAATCACAGTAAGTACAAGGACTAAACCTAATAAACATTCAAACTCCAAGCATGTTTCTGAACGTCAGAACTAATTCTGCTTTGTAATAAATCCACTGTGTTCCTACCGACCTAACAACTTATCCTAAGAACAAGAAGTAAAAACAATGCTAAAAATGCCATACCTCAACCACAGGCGACAGTCACCTGTCTACTTGGATGACAGGTACTAGRGAGAAGTGAGGTGAATTCTGCTATTACGGAAATGTGGGGGTGCTGCTCAGGTGTGACCACCTCCTGCAGAATAGGRAAGCTGAGCTGGACACTAGGTTCTTGCACCCTCCCCTTTTCTGGGCACAGTTAATGGGTCCAGTGGCAACTATGGGCCAAAGGGCAGTCAATTCATAGATGAGCCTTCTGTAGGACCCAGGCCTGAATGAAGAGATGAAGTGGTCAGATCACTATCTCCCCCAAGAACCTGAACTTAAAGAGAGCTTTCTATCTAAGAGTAGCATAGCTAAAGGCGAAGGATGCCATGAGGTGGGCTGGGACTGGGGCAAGCCAAGGCCACCTGAAAGCAGAAACTTGGCAAGGACAGAAGTAGTTGGTTGGCAGCAGGACTACAAAAACTGGGAGAAGAGCATGGTCATGTTTTAGGGGCACTTAGCATACTCCAGCTCAAGGCTACAGGACCCCAGTTTCAAGTTCACTTCCCTCACTGCCTAACTGATACCCTACAATCAGCTCCATTCCCTCAAGTAGCCCACGTGGGTCTGGGTTCTTTGAAACCAACTGCCATCTCATAAGAAGAAAACTCTACTTCTCTTTAAAATGCTGCCTGAAAAACTAATTAAACTAGAGGAAGGTTACAGAAGTGCCACTTTGAAACTGTTTATCTGAAGCGAACATAATTGCCTTCTCTCAGCCAAAAAATTTAGCTTTTCAACCTCAATACACAATAAAGGAAAAACTGAGAATAAGGAACTGCAAGTAAATCAATGTCCTCTTGGCAGAAAATCATGCTGTTTAATATTAGTCCCCAAAAGAGATAGAATGATTACCACGATTCAGGGCTTTACACTTCACTTATTAAACCTTGATTTAATACCATGAATACCACTATAATTGATTAAAATTATGAAAGTGTTAAAGAAGAGATTAAAACCAGCAATTTTTCATAGCCATGTGTTTTAGGACCAAGACCCTAAGAAACATCACTTGCAAATTAAAAGAGGGTGCACTAATTTCTCGAGGAACTTGAGAGAAAATCTGCCATTTTACTTTTCTGAAAGCATGGGTAATAATGACAAATACCATCAGTGTCAGACGGACAGTGTAGTAGTTAAAGCCTACATACAGTTCAAACCGACCACTGCTACCTGAGAATGGCTTKAAGAATTCTAACTCTTGAAACGACTTGTCCAAAGAGGCACAGCACAGGTACTACTACTATAAATACCTTTAAAAATAACTCAGCTAAAATCAACTTACTGAAAGTAAGATAAATAACACGTAGATTCCCAAAATCATTTTTTTTCTTGTTTGCAGGAAAAACACAAAATACTGCCTGCTAGCTTTGAGATTAAAASACATGAGAAGGTAGAAAAGGATATCCTAACACCACATGACAGATATTTTGCAAAATTTGTCATCTCCMCTCTCTGCGCTGAAAGGTGGGGTCTCCAGTCTGACTTGCCCATCCGTCATCTTCCCAGTGAAGCCCTGCGTGCCCGTCTTCCTCCTCTGGCTGGCTGGGGCGGCACTCAGGTTTCCGGATGGCCACCTGTGGATCAGGGAAGCCCTCCTCCAGGCCACTGGGCAGCTCCTACACCCCACCAAGAAACCGGCTTCCTCCGGGGAACATTTCTCTCCAGGTCCTTCCAGCAACTAACCGAGGTTATCCAGGTCCCAGAGGCCGGAGCTTAAAGGTGCCAATGGCCATGGCTCGCAGCGAGTGCCCGGGCACGCCGCACCGCCGGGCACCGGGGCCCCCGCCTCCGGGCCGGCCTGGCCGCACCTGTTGCCGGCGCGCTCCCGGCTCTCACACGCCATTAGCGCCCAGTTCGGGGGGCCCAGGGCCAGCCTCGGCCGGAGCGCCCAGGCGGAGGCGCAGGCGGGCCTCACACCCGCGGGACGCGGCTCCGGAGACCGGCGGCGCCACCTCCTCACCTCGGGAAGCCTCGACTCCGCCCCAGCACGGAGCCGCTGCCGCCGCCCGCCCGGGCTCGGTCCGGCCTGCCCTCCGCGCCGCGCCCCGGCGACGGCAGCCCCACCCGGCCAGGCTCCCGCTTACCTGCGGAGGGCGGCGGGGAGGAGGCGCCGGGCCCCGGCTCCGACCCTTCGCTGCTGCTGACACCAACCGCCCTCGCTCCCCGTGCGGCCGCGGCCCCCACGCCACAACCTTCCGGGGTCGGGTCTCTCGGACACCACAGAGACGGGCCCGGAAACGGCCCGAATGCCAGCCTTCGCCTCCCCCCCCCCCACGCCACCACTGAGGCGAACGAACCCGGAACCGAGGTAGAGCGCCGCACAGGTGACTCTCAGGCCGCTGCCATCTTGAGTGTGGGCGCCAGGACGGCCCTACGTTTCCATCACGGCCCTCCGCAGCTAAGTTGGTTATATCACGTGGCGATATCACCTCTATCACGTTTTGGATGGAAKGGGCGTTGGTCTGGATTTAAAATTTTAGTTTCTTCACCGTACACTTTTAATTTCTTTTCCGCCCGAACCCAAAATGGCCACCGGTGGCCTCCAACAGATCAAGTAGCGAGGGGCGGGGCGGAGAAAAGGAGCGTGGAGCGGGGCGGGAACCTTCGGAAGGCGACGCCCCGCCCCGCGCCACCGATTGGCTGCGCTACGCGGGCCAATCGCTTTCGCGGACCGCGCGGAGGCTGTCAGAGGTCCCGGGACCGGCAGATCAGAGACTGACAAGGCCAGGGTCGCAGGGTTTCGGAAAGGAGACCCGAGAGAAGCGGTGGTGCTGTTCCTGACGTTGGCGGTGCCTGCTTAGGGTGTTAGGAGGACGAAGTGGGCTTTCGTAGTGGTTGTGAAACTGCGTGGCACCAACTTGGCCACTGAACGTCTTCACGGTGCCCAGTGGCGGTCGGCGCGGCTACGGCGGMGGCCCGGCCCGAGTTATTTCGAGTGTAGGACTTTCACGTCCCCGCTGGCCGGTAGCAGTAGCTGGAAAGATTTGCGATGGATAAGAAAGGACTGCATGATGTCTTCAGGTCAAAGGGAAACAAATAGCGAATTCTGTCCCCTGTCCAGAAGTAACCGTAGTAAATAAGTACAGGGCTGGGGTGTGGCTCAGTGGCAGAGCTTGCCTAGCACGTGGGAGGCACAGAGTTCAATCCTCAGCACCACATCCAAATAAATAAATAAAATGAAGATATTGTATTCATCTATGACTAAAGAAAGTTTTTTTAAAAAATTAAATATATATTAAATAAGTATTTATGAGGAGATGAGCACAAACAAGTAATCCACCCCATGAGCTTGATGMAGTCCAGACTGTACTAAGAGCACTGTCCTCTGGAAGGAGAAGGTAAGCTACATAATTTTTAAATGTTATCGTAGCAACTGTAAAAACAGTAGAAAGAATGAAAATGATTTTGATATTATATTTCAACTCAAGGTAGCCAAAAGATTGTTACTTAAACATACTCAATGTAAACTTTATTTCTGTCCTGGGGTTAGAACCCAGGTCCTCCAGAGTGCAAGACCTCTCTGCCACTGAGTTACACCCCCAGCCCAACATCAATAATTATTAATGAGATTTTTATTCAAGGTARAACAGACTGAATTGGGGGCCCCCCTCTGAATTAAGAGGAACTTCCTCCTATGAAGACGGAAAGCCAAAAGGCTGACCCCACCCTGTGGCCAAGAAGCTGGGAGCAGAGCGTTCCTCTGGCCTAACACAGGTTAACTAAATCCCACCAGGTACATCCCTTATCTTTCAACTCACTTCACTGCTGCCCCTCCCTTCTCCCCTGCCTCTTCTCCTTTAAAGTTCTGCTCACCTTTAGGGATTTTTGAAGATGGAATGTTTGAAACGGTTGTTTCTTCTATCTTCTTTCAAAGCAGGCTTTGAATAAGACCAATTTTCCTATCAACTTGACCCCTGTTTCTGGAGCAGTGAGAACTACAGTCTACTCTCTTTCCCTGCAGGGTGTCATTAGAGCCACTTAGTAACAATAGGTTGTTGGTACTGTCTTCAAACTGAAATGTAATTTTTTGCAACCTGAACTAGCCACATTGTAATGCTCTTAGTCACACATGGCTAGGGAATACAGTATTGAGTGCAGCTATAGACAGTATGACCACCATCTTGCACCAGAATGTTGAGAAACAAAAATACARTGTGGGATCCTTCTACATTATAGTCAAAAGGAGCAATTGCAAAACAGAAACCCTCCAGATAAGTGGTAAAGCCAGGACCATTAGGGCCAARCCTCAGGAAGCCTCTTTAAGTATTCTGGGCTCCTTAAATTTTTACACCTGGTTTATTCAAAAGAGTAGAGCAATCTCTAAAACATTTTGGACAATTCACCTATCTTGCATATATTTGAGCCCATCTCTAATTTTCATCATGATAAATAACAGGTTGTTTGTTATTTTGCCATTTTAAAAGTAAAAACTCTGAAACCATGATAATAACCAAAACATCTGGTGTCTCCAGAGATCAAGGTGGCTAAGGTATCTGTGGCTCCATCTCTGGAATGTGTCCATTTGATATGATGCTGGCTGACTACTCAGGAGGGTGGATTCCTAATAACAGTGCCCACTGCTCCTGGGGTGTAGTTCTGTGAGCTAACCCACATAGAATAGTACACCATCCATGCAGAAGTAACTTAGGCTGTCCATCAGAAGTATCCTGTGAAAGGCACGTTGTAAGCATCCATAATCAAATCCCATGAACCCCCATCAGGGCAGAGCTAGAGTATATAGATACTCCCAGAGAAAGACCTAATAAAAGCCAGAACATACATGGTATAGGGTTACCAGCTCCAACGTCCATCCAACTCTCCTCCCACTTCTCCACTGTTCGCCTTCATTATAGGGGTTAAGAAACCAAAATGATCTCTTTCTGAGCCTCCTTTGCAGTGGGGTGGTCACAAGTCTGGCTGGTGATACAAAGTTAAGAAGGACTTAGGCTTTTTGCTTTTGCCTGCAGATATCCGACCAGTGGCTGAGCACTCGTTTAAAGACTTGCGTCCCTGCCTCCATTTTTCATGCATCTTCTTTTCTCCAGAGTCACCTTAGATTCCAGGAACAAGGACTGATAGGATAAGCCTCTTGTGATTACCCCCAGGCAACAGCAACTTTCTCATCCTGAACAAGCCTGCCTCACCTGATCCTGAGATCACCAGGGACAGACCACACCTGACCAAGGCCACCTGCATTGGAAGCTGTGACAGTCTTAGCTGTGCAAACCCGGACCCTTGCCCTCATTCCCCTTTCTATAAACCTCAGTCACTGTCAGCCCCTAGAGGACAGGGCTGAGGTCCTCTTGTCTTTCAGTTGCAATCTATAGGATTAAAGTTCCTACATGCTTGTCACCAAAATGTTTCCTGTTTGCTTTTAGAGGCTAGTGGCCCAGCTGATTTACTGCATCCTTGGAGTCAGGCCTCTGGCCTAGGACTCCAGTAACAATGGCAGCATCCATTAGGTTTAGGGCAGTGCACTAGGGAAAGCTTTGCCTTCGTGATAAAGGAAGGGAATGTGGGTGACATGATGGCAGCTACCCAAGCACCATGGGACAATAAGCAAACAAGATAAGGAGGTGCAGGTGAGGGACAGGAGGAGTGGGATTCTCTTGATACATATCATACTGTCCCGAGAGAGTTCATCATTATATTTTTCTTCATTTTGAGGGGAAGTCGAAATAAGTCCCATCACCAACACATGATCCTTCTGCAGCACCAGAGCTCCTGTTATGCTCAAATTCGGGACCCCCAAAAGACCACTAGAGACCAAGATCGATGTAAGCAGCAAAGAGGTGTTTATTGCGAGCTAGCTTGGTCCTCCACGAGCACACAGCAACTGGTGATGCTGAGAGACCTCGAGCCCAGGGTTTGCAGCAGTTTTATACACTCTTTGGGGAAGGCGGGGACTTCACATACATCATAGTATCTCCTAGCAAATCATCACACACCTCGGGAAAATCAAACAACAACTCTTAACATTGATTAGCACATTCACTGGTGGAAACAAGTTGGGTAGGGGTGATTGGTTAATAAAAGAGGGGGATTCGTGGGCTGGGGATGTGGCTCAAG